GGCGGGGCCGCGGCCGCCATTTAAAGGGGCAGGCGCCGGCCGACCCGAGGCGGTTGCCAAGGGCGAGCGGTGGCCGCCCGCTCCTGAGGAGGGCAAAGCCGGGGGGGGTGGTGGGGAGAGGGCGGCAGCGGCGGCGGTGGTGCGTCTGATCGCCCTCCTCGCTGAGGGGAAACCTCTCGGCGGCTTCCAGAATGGGTTAATTACGAAGCCTCAGAAAGTTTTAGCAGGGAAAAAACTCCCGGCTTCGGGAGGCGGGAGGGAAGGGGGAAGGGGGAAGCGGCCTTCACTGCCTCCCTCCTGAGGGAAAGCCCCGCCGCCCTCCCCGAGCGCCCAGCCCCGGCAGCTGATCAAACGGCGTCCGGGCAGCAACAGCGGTTCCCAAATCTGCCGAGGGCGGGGGGGGCTGGGGGGAATTGGGGATCCATGGAAAATACCGCCGAGAGGCCGCTCCAGGGGGACACCTAGGGGGAGAGAGGGGAAGGGGACGGGGAAGGGAACCCTCTGCCGCGTTTTTCTGAGGTGCCCCGGGCCCGGCCGCTGTGACAAACCGCCGTCCTGAGGGGCCGTATGGGGCCAGACCCCGCGCCCCCAGGCAGAGCAGGGGTGAGGTGGGAGATGAAGGCAGGCAGTGGTGGTGGAGGGGTTCCTCTCGGGGAACCCAGGCCCTCCTCTTTAAACTGCTGCTGAGCAGCGCCAAGTGGTTTCTGCCCAAGCCCAAGGGGTGGGCACCCCCGGGGGTCTCTGAAAAACCAGGCTCCACGTTAGCCAGCATCCGACAGTGCCCCTCAAATCAGGGGGCCCAAGCAGAGCCATGGCGGCTTGTGGATTTGTGCCCCCAGGTCACCTCGCAGGAAAAAGAAGAGCCCCGTGAGGTGGAAAGAAATCTCCACCTTGGTGGGTGGGTGGCTGTATACGATGAAAAGGGAGGGAGAGAGGGATGGATGGACAGACGGACAGACAGCCAAGGGAAGGAGGAGCAGAGCATCCTGGCATGGCAGAGTTGTTTGTTCTTGCTGTCCCTTTTCCCCAGAAAGTGGGTTGAGGCTCTCCCTGAAGGGACATTTCTGGGCTCTGTGATACCTGCCCGCTAATACATCAGCAAAGGTGCCAGAAGTCCCTGTGGCTGATGTCCCCTCCCGGCTGTTGGCCCAGCCAGGACAGCTTTAACACCACCAACTGCGAGTGTCCAAAATTTACAAGAAAGCATAAAAAATAACGTGTGTTTTATTTCATTTTTGTTGCTTGCTTTCTTGATTTGGACATCTGAAACACATTTTTTTCAGGCTTTTCTCAGTAACACTCAGGGGACCAGTTTACCATTCTTTTTGTCCCAAAATCAAGATCCTTTCTGAATCATATTGGGTTATCCAAGTGGGAGAAGCTTCATGTTCAACTGATGGCTGTCAGCAAAAGAACCCTTTGTATTCCCTCAATGAAAAGCTAGCTGACCTGACAGTTTTGCTCAGGCATGTCCTATTTAATGGAGAATTCACAAAAGAATTGCTGTTACAGGATTAAATGAACATTAACAGCATTTGCAGGAACAATAGTAGTATGTCCATCACAACACACCTGAAATTTTGGGTTTTTTTTTTAGAAAAACACCAAATACTTGGGTTTAAATCAAACACTGTTTGGAATGCCTTTGGTCCAGCTCCGTCTTCCCACACTGGCTTCTCTGACACGCAGTCACGGCCAGTACTCTAAGCCACTACTCACTCCCAATTGCTTTTGATCTGCCAGGTGCCATTGACTCTACTGGCTATTCCCTCCCCAAACTCTTGGTTGTTTTTGACTCCCCTAACTTTTTCCTTTCATAGATTTGTGGGTTTTTTCTCACTAACACTATGGCAGTACTTCATAGAAGACCCTCATAATCTACCTTCCAGCTTTCTGCTGAAGTGCTGTTGCTCTGCACTTGGTCCCAGTTCCCTTCTTAATATGTAGTTTTATACTGGAGTGATTCCTTCCTGGTAATCCAAGGTCTTCCCTCTCTCCCAACTCATTTCAAACAAAGAAGAAATATTTGCCCTTTGGGTTCTTTCAGCTGTACTCCCTCTAACCTATCCTGCTTTCATTGATGCCGATGTCACCACATCAAAGTTAGAGCAACAAGTGGTCACTCAAGAAGTGGGTTTTTCCTCTCAACACTGTTTGGTCAGCAGATTTTTGCAAATCAGATGTGGAATTTCTTGAAACAGTTGTTGTGGAGCACCCACATGCAAAGATGCAGATCACAGAGTTTATTAAGAGTGTATTCAAGAACGCCATATGGCAGTAGCATGATGACAGATTTCCTCATGGTGTGATGGGGGCTTTTTGGGGGTCCGTTTTGCTTTCAAATACAAATAAAAGCAGAAATACTCATGCCTCTCTCAGCTGAATTGTGCTTTGTGTTATAACACATGTGGATTTGAGTCTTTACTGGATACTTAAGTACCATTCCATTATCTGAAGAGTCCTAAAAATAAGCAAAACCGTTAGATAAAGCCAGCAGCAGGCTGGAAAGGTGTTCTGTAATCCCTAATTCCATATCTGAGGGAAAAGGAGTCGACTGGCTAGCGAGAGCCGCACACGCTCGGTAGAGGGGTAGCCCTGCTTGGCAGGGCTGGATGCTGCGGGTGAGATTTTGGGGGTGCTGGAGTTCTTCCCACAAAGCAGTGCTGGGAAGGTACCTCTCTGTAAGCCCAGACTTTCCGTTCCAGAGCCCACCTGCTAGTTTTGCAGATAGGCCGTCTGCTTTAGCGGTTTTCCCCTCCACCCCGGTGGCATTAGATGAGCTTTACTTAAATGGAGTTTAAGTAATCAGCTTTTGGTGAAAAAGGGGTTGGTTCCACACTGGAAAAAATTACTTCAGGAAATGCATTTTACCTACAAACACCATGTGCATATAGCCACAAAGATACTTAATTCCTATAGCTTCCTTTCATGGTGAATTAGGATGTCCAGCTGCTCAGAAAATGAAGCCACTGCTCTTTCTCCTCTCACCTCCACTAGGGAGGGGGTTCAGCAGAAGAGAGGTCTCCTTTTGAGTATCTGGATATTCTGTACTCAGCCCAAAGTTCTGGTTTATACGAGGCCGAAGCGAAAAACAACGGATTATCTTCCCTCTGCTCTCAGAGCATTTTCAGCATCTTCTCTGGGAGAGATCAGAACAGCCCCCGGGAACTCATTGTTGTCACTTCAAAGGTGGCTGTCATCCAGGCAGCAGGCAGAGCACTGTGAGCTCCAAGCTGTGGTAACTTTAGTAAGTGTGACATTCACTGGGCAGAATGTGAGGTCCTGTTGCAATAACACACACATATTTTTTTTGCCCATGCTACCAGAGGGAGAGACGGTGAGGCCATATACTTCAGCAACTATGAGCCAGCACATCGGGAAGCTCTGTAGATGTGCAGTGTCTTCATTCCTCCTCTACTTGCTGACGGGTGAGTACTAAACCACCTTCCTTAATTAGAAAAAATATAGCTTATTCCTAGGGTTTGGCTTGAGAGATTCTCTTCTTTTTTTCAAAAAGCAGCCTTCTACTGACGGCTTCCTCGGGATGCAGGAAAACTATGCCTAGTGTTGTGCGCTGCATTAAAACATACTTGTTTTTATAGATACACTCCTGTTTAGCTAATAAAAATGTTCAGAAAGAGTATGTTTGCCTGTCTTTTTCAAGAAGAAAGGCTGTGTATCATCATTGCTAGAAGCTTCATTTCTATTTTGGTTCTCTGATATATTAGCAACTGGTTATCATCACAAGGTAGTTATTCATACCCATTTACGAAAGCCAACCTCGGCCCAGGGCAAAAGTCATATAAATTAAGATGAGTAATGTGCAATCACTGATCACTTAATCATAGAAAACTGGGAGCTGGACACAGCTTGTATAGCACCCTCATGGCACCAGCTGAGGGTGAAGTTGAGCTCTAAAGCCAACAAAACCATCTGAAAGACAGTCATTCCAGCATAAGAGGATTTTTATGTGGGTTGGAAATCGAGCCCTATTTGCCCTCAACCTCTCCTCCATCTAGTGAATGTGAACAAAGGAGAGGAGGCTCAACTAGAAAGGTCAAATTTTGCATTGACTTCCACCAACAGTTTTGGTTCCCCAGTGCTGTTGGCAGCTGGCAGAAGCAGCTTGCAGGGCTGCTTGGGTTTACTCCAGGTGCCAAAGTTAGAGGCTCCAGGACTGGAAGAGAGAGACCGCAGGTGTATTTTATTATTTCCTTTTGTCACCCCACCTCCCCTAGCCTGCCTTGTGTATTTCTCATTCACAGCCAACAACATGGCCTTACATGGGAAAGTATCAACCTGCAGATGATGTAAAGGGGAGGCTGGTGGCTTAGTAGGTGCCCTATTAGTACTGGCACATATGAAGCACATTGTCACATTACAGGGAGTCCCAGAGAGCTTTTTCCCCTCATGGTTGGAAGCTGGCCCTGAACTACCCACTTCATATAACAATGACCTATTAGATCATCTAATCATTTTTCCAGGTCAAGACAAGATCATCTGTGCTGTATTTCTCTGTACTCTGTCTAGCTCAAGTGCTTTCACCAAAAATCCTTCCATTCCTCTCCACAGGAGGTTGGCCCTACAACCCTCCTGACAGGGGACCTACACATCACTCTGCTAATGAGGCAATTGACGTAAAAAGAGCTTTGAAGCAAAGTCAACAAAGCATTTGGCATGATATGCTCCCAGATGCCAATATGATAAGGGCATTGTGTATTTGGATACCAGTGAACTAGTATGTTCTAGTTTTGCGACCTTACAAAAGAAAAAGAAAGAAAGGAAGAAAGAAAAACAGAGGCTGTGCTATGACCTTCTCAGTGAACCCCCCCAAACAGAGCTGGGATGAAACAATACAGCCTAGTTCTTTTGCATTTTGGTTTTCCTAACTAGTTGCAAGTTACATGATATGTATTGAATCAAAGATGTGGGATAACACAGCTGACAAGGTCAGTTATTTCATGGTAGGAGGTGCAAATAAAACTCACTATGAACAGACGCAACATCAAAGCACATTGTTCCTGCTTGGTTACGGTCTCTGGGCCACTAAGTGACTGTGTAAAAAAAATACCTTTTACATCACTAAAAGGAATAAAAATTATAATTGTATTGCAGCGGCTGCATATGGTGAGGCTGGAATAGCTATAGTGGAGAAGAAATGGTGGCCTTTCCTTGAAAAGAAGTTAGCAGTAGCACACACCGCTCTAGCTAAAGCAGCACTATTCAGTGGAGATAATGGTTGATGAACAAAGATTTTAAAAGAATATTAATGATAAAACTGCTCAAATTCACTCTAACAAATAACCAAATATATCACATCAGAATATTTGATGCACAAAGATGGTAATATGTCAAGGTACCATCAGCTTTGTCAAGTATTTTGACTATACTGTGTACTTCTTCAAAGCATCTGGTCAAGATACTTTAACTTTTATGACTGCTTAATTGATACACTGTTATCTAACTGGAAGGGGAAAATCTGGACCTCCTATTCCCCTGAGTAGTTCCAGTGGGGTCATCAGTAAGATTATGTATGACCATGAGGATAATATTTCATCCAGTATCTTTAATAAGGACTACTCATTTTAAGGGACTGGATCCAGACCTGCAATAATATATGGGTCCATAATTCTCAGGCATCCAATTCCCATGGATTGATGTTTCAAGGCCAAAATTTTTACTTAAAGGTAAAAGGGCAGAGCATCAAACAGCTCTGAAGGGTTTTCACATCTTTGTTGTTGCCTAGTTTCATAGCCAACTTGAATTTTCTATATTTTTGCATCCATGAGTAATCTCACATCTCATACTTACACTGTAAGCTCTGTAGCCCATCCTTTTATAAGGCACTTAGTACAACAGGGCCCTGCTGTCTGACAGAAATTGTCAGTGCTACTCCCAAACGAGTTATAAATAATAATAACTATGAATACAACTATGATTTTGTCCACAAGCATGCCTGGAGGAGCCATTCAAGTAACACTCAAACCAATCATCAAGGGGTTTGCTTTTCCATTGCCTTGAGACACTTGTCCCTGAGCATTCAGGCTATTGTAATTTTGAAGCTTTACCAGACCCAGACAATAGCATTTCACACCCTTTGGATGGCAATGAAAGACTCAAGACAATGGAAAACCAAGACCTTCGCCATGGGATGGTCTTCAGTCCTTGAGAGGGTACCCACTAGTATGAAGGGAGACTATTTCACTTGAAGAAAATAAAAATAAGACACTTTTCAAAAAAATTAGTTTGAACTCTTTCTTGGTGACAGCTGTTGGCTTCTTTTGAAGAGTTTGTTTTCCCCTCTTTTTGTTCCAGCTGGGGATTTGAGACAGCAAGTATTCCTCTCTTCTTCTGAGCCCAGGCTTGTTTCCAGAAATGAGATCCATTTGCACTACTCTTAGCTCGAGGCTGTTTGATACTATGATTAGCAGCTGTGTAAGAGAAGGCAGATTTAAATCTGTACTATAGGCATGTTGTCCATATTTTTCTAGCAAAGAGTAGCAGGACAATGTGGTCCCTTCACAGAGAATAGATGTCACCCACTGTACTGTCAAGAGGCCTCTTAATTTCAAACATGATGGTGTGACTGTGTATTCAGGTGCATCTTCTATGCCTCTCAGGATGTTGGTTGTCAAAACGGAGTTGGCTATTTCATATGCCAAATGTTTTCACAACAACTCCTAAGTTATCAAAACTTACATGTCAAGCAAAAGTCACAGCAACTCACAGTTGTCAGAAAAAAACAGAGAAACTGGCCTGCCCAGGCAGAATGACTTCACTAACTTTCTCCTAGGCAAACAGAAAATCAAGTGCCATCTGTGTACTTTCCCGCTCTGTTTGTAAAACAGACCTCTCACCACTAGTTTCCCTTGGCACAGGAACTTCTGCATTATAAAATCTCTCATTGTCCCTCGTGAGCAGAGTGTTACCATGCTAGGGAAACTCACCCACGCCAGCGTGCTCAGTATCAATACCTGTAAAATGCTTGGGTGCCATCCCCCAGGCCGCTGAGAGCATCTGTTGGGGGTTCAGTGTCTGGAAATGGAGATTCTTCCCACAGTCTCAAGATTTCCTATCCTGAAACAGGAAGTGCGTGCCAGAACTTCTAAGAAGCTCACATGACGTGTTGGAATGCAGGCAGTTGCATTAGGATGCACACATATTCACTGTAACTGTCAGAAGAGAGCTGCCCATATGTAAGCGTACATGCGTTTTCTGCTTTGCTTCAAAAGCAATTGATGCAGAAATGTTAGTGTTTCAAGTGGAAATGTGACTGAATTTCACCCAAAGCCATTGGACAATGGCATTAATTTTCCTCTAGTACGGCAGTAGAAAGGAACTGAATATGAGGAAAAGCTGTATCTGTACACATGAACATAACATAAGCAGGAATCAGGAAAAACATCCCTATCATCAGCATAGTGACTACCCTCAAGTCCTAATTCCAGGAGCCGTTCTTTGTGCTGCTTACAGCCAGAAAATTTATCATCCTATCACCCTCAACACTCTTCTTTCTCTTTCCTGGCACAGATGTTGGCATTACTAGTGGAAGTGCAAGCAAGGAGAATGCAGCTGTAACTCATATGACAGCACAACCTTCATTGTTGACACCACCTGAGACGTGGCACCTTTTGGTGACTCAAACACCAGCCAAGGAAAAGGCCAAAGAGGGTGAAACTGTGGTCTTAAATTGCTACTTTAACAGTCCACGACGTCCCTCCCTGACAGACCTGAAGGTGAAGTGGTACAAAGAAGATGAAAAGGGGCAGATGGACCTGCTGGGAAACAATGTGACCGTCTTGCCAAATAACTCCAGGGTTTTCATGAGCGGAGACTTGTCCCAAGGGGATGCCTCCCTGGTGATCCTCAATGTGACAATCAGTGACCATGGTATTTATTTCTGTGAGGTTACACTTCCGGATGGGAACGTGGTGACAGGAGATGGCACAAAGCTCAGAATCAGGAGGGCTCTGGGTAATATTTGATGTTATTTACTTCTTTTCTCCCTCGTTCTCCTCCACAGCTGGCTTACACGCTTGTGGAAAGAGGGAAATTGGCCTGTTTGGCCTCCAGCAGTTAGGGCCTGGTGTCATGGAGTGTAATTGCTCCATAGCATTTTTCATTCTTTTTGTAAGGCCAGCTAATTTTGATTGGCTTGCCTCTGTAAACAATCACACAGGTAATATTGTAAGGAGAGGCATTTACAAGCAAAAAAAGAAGGAATCATTTTATCACTAAAATCAAAGTCAGTGCCAAGAGTGAAAGAGTTAGACAAGTTCTCTGGTACTCACCGCTCTGTTTGGCATCATCCCCATGAGTGACAGGTGCCAAGATACCATCTCAGGCAACAGCTCCACATTCCTTTTTTTTTTTAACATGATTTCTCTCCAGCCCATTAACTTGCATATTCATTCCTTAACTCGATGATATAGGTAATCCCAGGATAAACATGAGGATCACGTGATATCATTTCTGCTTAACTTCATAAACATTAAAATCAAAGTGGCATTAAAAGTGCCGTGCTATGTTTTCTTAGCCTCACAAATAGACACCAGGCATATTAAGTAAGGAGATAACTTGCTTTGCCTTTATCATCTGGAAATGTCAAAGCAGCTTTCCTTTTTTATGTAGGCTGAACACATTTCAGTCTCAACAAATCAACACACCAAAAGGTTTATTATCTTATTATCCAATTAACAAAAAATAGCACCTTCTGTGTCAAGAGTAAATTATGCATGTGCCGTTTTCCCCTTATTCATTTCCAAAGCTTCTAACTCACTGAGATTCACTAAGCCTGAGCCCTTCTGAGCTCAGTTCTTCCCTTACGAATTTTGTAAAACTACTCAGTTTAAACCATAGCTCTAACAAGGCAAGAAAACCATGACACACCCCCCCCCCCCCCCCC